TCCACAGTTGTGTGACATGAGCTGTCTTCCGCTGTCCCGAGTATTTCCAATTCTCTGCGATAGTACCCGATTCGTAAGATATCTGGAAGAGATGAGAAAGAACTGCAACATACTCCTCTAGACATCTCTTCACTAAAATCATCTGGAGATGAGGATGCAGCGAAATAAGCCTACCCTGGGTGAAAATTGATTATCGCCAGATTTACATACAATATGAGAATTGTTCCATATTCACAACAAAAAGATTCATCAAACGAACTTAATAAATGATGAGTATTCCGTGTTTCATGAGATCACAAAACTACACTGTTCTTAGATTCCTAGATTACAAATGACCACTGCATTGGACAGTAACCTCAAGCCCAATAGATGTCTGCCATTCGCATTGTCTAGACTAGTTTCATCACGATCCTTAAGCTGACGCTCACTTTCGTCGTCAACGGACACAACTCGGGAACAATGACATTTGTGACGAACGTAGAAAATAAACTCCAATTAAAATGTCGCCGGCTTCGGTAAAGCGTAAAAAGCGTTTTACTAAGGAAAGTGTTTCCATTCTAGCAGAATGCTTATGCGTATCACGACAACGTAATTTCGGTAATTGTTATGCTTTTCGTAGAAAAACACCGCGGCTGTCACGCGAGTTTAAAGGGAATAGGACTTTAATGGTGTCTTGAGCGACATGGAAATTATAACTTATATTACTCTAATGGTTTCAATTCCTTTTATATGAACATGATCGGTTAAAACCATTTCCGGGAATATAAAATCGCTAATGTTTATGTGTGTACCTTGTTATGAATGTAATCAAATAAAATTGAACCTGATATACCCTGTGGCAAGAAAATAGGACAGCTAGTACAAGTTTTATTTGAATAAGATTTTATATACAATTCGACATAATATGTAACAGGAAGTTGTGATAAAGTTTTTATCTCAAGTTACTTTGCATCTGACCATTTATACGACTGAATCCGGCTCTGACACCCAATAATGTCTATGACAAAGTATGAGAAAGACGTAACTATAACAGTGTTAGGATCGATCATGGCCCAGGTTAATGAACGAAGTCGGGGGAAAGCACTTTGCACTATGTATAGGTGAAAAATGCTTTTACTTCAAACTCCTTTCAGGAAAAATTCCCATTCTCTCAAACGGATATCAATATGCTGCCACCGATATGAAAACCCGTAAAATTTATGGATACTTGGTAACTTTTTTACTAGCTTCCATCTTTCTGATGCACGATATGACTGCAAAATGTGATATGAATGGTTACAAAATTTGTACGGATGAATAAAAAGTATCACTTTATGTGGCTTGGGGTAACCAATTTCATAACTTTTAGTGTCCATTCCGGAAAGATAGTCAATTCGGCAGCCCAATCAGATAAACCAGTTGAAATAGTTTTCTTCTTCGAAATAAGGCAGCGCGAAGCGCCATCTAACATTATAATTGACCACTGCAAACAGTGTATCACAGCATACCGGTTGGGAATTTATAGATATCAGTACGTGAATTAGCGGCCCAGTCTCCACGTCACCGCTAGATAGCGACGATTATAGCTGAGTAGTAGATGTGGGCTATCCGCCATTGAAGATAATAAACATGCTCTGCTCTCGTCCGTCTGGCCACAGATGATCAACCATGGAGAGCTGTTTCGTGTTTTTTGCTACTCCTTAGCATGGTCCAGACTTCGGACTCTCGGACAACAAACGAAAGCATAGCAACTATTATCAAAAGTGTGAGATCTATTTAAATAGCCTTTTGATAGTGGTAGATGGCGCTTCGCGCTGTTTTATTTCGATAGATCTCACATTTTTTATAGTGAATAATTGCTATGCTTACGTTCGTTGTCTGTGAGACCCAAACCTGGAGCATACTGAGGAGGAGTACACAAAAAGCACAAAGCAGCTGTCCATTATTACGCCTGGCATGCGTTACAGATTTATTTCTTAATTACTTGTCACAGAGATAATCACAGAACACCCCTTTTAGAACGGAATGCCAGAGTAAAAAAGCTGACTTGTGCTGTGACTCCATCTCTTGTGAGATATGTAACTATATAGCGCGAAAACGATGGAAGTATGCATTTCGGTTATTTTCGAAAGAACTAACGCGCATTAATTTGCTTGTCGTAACTGCACTTTGTGATTAAGAGAGAACAAGTTTTAACTAAAATACACTTTTCAATAACTCTACCTCCCCTACAGAAAAATCTCTTTCACAAATATAATCTTACATTCACTTGCTAAATTGTTAAGTTGTGTCATTATTTGTCACTGCTACCCATTGTTGAATTACATTCACCGTTCTGAAAATAATGTATTCATAATTACTGGATTATATGTATATGGAGCCTATATACCGGAGAAATGAGAAGAAAACAACCCTAAAACTTGACACCTAACGCAGTGATTGAAGCTAGTACCAGTAACTACACATGCGCAAAGTATCTAAGGAATGAGATCCGACCGCTTGAACCTGCAGGTATCTCATTTTTGGTAAAACTTAATTTTTATGCATGATAAATTAATTAGAACAAATTATGCAGGCAGGCGTCATGCTTCGGGGTCGTTTTTACATAACGAACAGCTTTGCCCTATTTTCTCATGGTGTTTAGACTCCATAGTTTTATATATGGGAGTAGATTACACCTTGTCAACTTGACAAGAACGTATGGATAACAAAACATGAAATTAAGTATCCAGCTGCTGATAGCGCCAACCAGCACGAGGTGTTGTACTTTCATCTATGTACATTTCAGTCCACTTAACTTCCCCACCCCTCCCAAGAAATGACAGGAATACATTTATGTCAACTTCGAACTCTCATCTCCTTCCTTTCTTTCTCCTTCCTTTCTTTCTCCTTCCTTTTTTTCTCCCTCTCCACTTTCCCCTACAACTTGTCTGGCTTCTGGGCCACCAGACCTGACAGACTGACGACAGACATTGACATTACAGTGACTATGTTCTAAAGGCCGCATGGGTATCATGTAAAAAACTTATAAAACGTCAAAAAAACCTATAAGATGTCATCTCGCAAACTAGGTATGTTTTAGGGCGCAAACAGTCATTCCACGTTTGCTCACTAGGATCGTTGTGAACGTCCATCTAAGGAGGGCATTATTGGTTGCATATGTCTTGTGAAACCAAACGGTTCTTGCCTGTAGTTTTTATCTCTGAGAAGAAAGTTTGTTGAATAACAAGATCTCGTCTGGATGATTATGTATTGGTCTGCATGTGTATAAAATCAGTGATATTTGCTGTGTGAGAAAATCATTTCTGAATATGCTGCCAATAAAGTATATCTATTGGCTGTACCGGACGGGTTATTTTTATGTTGTGCTTTCTGAAGAGGGTTATGTTTAAAGTTATAAATTACGAAAAACAGGAGAATTGCGGAAATCATCACCGCGCCCGCGTTGTGTGTAATTACTGTTAGCATGTATATGGCTTGTAATTCGACAGTGTACAGTGAATATAATTATTTCTTATCTCTCTCATTTTTGAATTTCAGCAAGTTTGTATATGTAATTTCCAGAATGGATAAGAAAAAGTGAATGCGCAACTAGCTTTGAATCTCAATTAAGTGTATTTGAAACAAAAACCCAATGTAATTATCATCAACAACATACAACTTACAGCTTAGACCTCCAGTAATGCCATCGCAGTAGCAGAGTTTACATTACATCAGAGCCAAAGATTGATAACAATCCTCATGACGTTTAGGCAACACGTACAACTAAGTGCTAAATTAATACCTTGTAGAAAAACCGCATGCGGCTCGCGAACTTTCTTGCGGCCCGCTTCACGGGTCATGTATACATGTACATCACAAGTATAAATTACTCTCAAATACCGAATATGCATATGTATACCTATTAAAACTCAGTAATAATGTTGTATAGAAAGATTTTATAATGCGGCCCTCCAAACTGCATTTTTTTTTAAGTGGCCCTTGGGCCACATTAAGTTGGACAGCCATGACGTAGTTTATTCTAGTCCTATCTCGGAAAAATGGATTTGGAATGCATAGGGAAGAGAGGTACACAATGACACAATTTCTGAAAAATCCACGGACAAACCCTGATGACTTGTTTTTTAAAAAATCAGTCCGTGTGTCTTTTACCTCACTCAATTGCAAATAAGGTCCAATATGTAATAATAAGAAAATGAAAGAAACTCAAGAAAAAAAATAAAAATTTCTTTAGGCTGCATTTGTATCAATGTGTACCACCAGTGGTACAGTTTGAAACATATGGTAGTACACAATAAAACACGTTGGAAATTATTACAAATCTGTCAGAATCAAACAATATTTATTTTTTGTAGGTCATCGTACAATTATATTGTTAAATTCTAACCCAAATCTATAGGTAATAAGAAGAAAGTCTTTTGTTGCTGGTTTTCATGAGTTCTGATAATAACATAACAAAATCGGATTTCAACCCCATATGAATATCAGCAATATCGGGAAAATAAAATGAATTTGCCGCTCCTTAGGTATGAAACTTTGAATTCTTCTGAGTTTACAACATCTAAAATTTTGGCAACATAATGAATATTATTTTCAAATTTCACCAAGATGAAAGAATCTTTCAAAATATAGGTGCTTTCAGTAATTTCATAAGATTCCAAGTTATTTTTTTGTTCCTGTATCATGCTATATTTAAGGTCTTCTAATGATAATTCCTCGTCGGAACAGTCCTTCAACTCCACATTATTATCTTCTGATTCTGAATCTGTTTCATTTAAGATCCTTTCCTTTATTTTTCTTTTCTTTGTTTTATCATTTCTGTTCAAACTCCCCGAAATATTTCTTTTCTGGTGTGCTAGTTAAAATAATGCTCTTCTTTGTTTTTCGTTTCCTATTTAAATTCTTTCTAGGTGCAGCTTTTGGAAATCCTCGCAGATCAAATGGAGTAACAAAATGACCTTTCAATACAGTTAAGTTTTTCTTATTCATAGTTAATTAACTTATTTCTGTTTGTTTGTTACCATATAAACCAACAGATTCAGTTTCAACAATTGAGTTTTCCTCTTCCTCATCTAATTTGCGATCCAAAGTTTGAATTGTACCAGATGAACCAGCGCTGGACGTAAAGGCAACATTTGAACGTGAAGGGTTGTCTTGACTGTCAGATGAAGCTTCGTTTCCACGGGTGCCATTTCGTATTTCAACTATTGCTTTTCTTGTTCCCAGATTATCTGAGTCAATTTGTTCCCTGTCGGTAACAGACGACGATGGAAAATCACCATCCGTAAAAATGTTTTTATTAAAAGGATAGATGCCTGTACCTCTGAACCCATTCATTATATTTGCTGGAGTCATAGATTTGGAGTGGGCAATACCGACACATTCCGATATTTGATACAACGTCATAGGAACAGCCGGGTGGTTTACAAGCCACGAATCAATCGCATAGTTATAAAAGTTTTTGAATGAAATGAACACAGACTTATCTAGAGGCTGAAGCTTGTTGCTGGTATGTGGGGGAAGGGT